GTCAGGAGGCAGGCAGTGGAGTTCATCCTCAGTCTTCTGGAATAATTATTATCACCAACCCCTTCTTTTTATAGATGAGGAAACTGGGGACCAGAGAGGTTAGCTTATTTGCCTAAGGTGACACAGTTGTGTACATTTACCTACCTTATAGAATCCTTGTTAACTGAGTGTATTGAGAACCATAGCACATTCTAGAAATCAATGTGAGCTCTTTCTCAGACCAATGGGTTGGGATAGAATTGAATCTCCTCGAGTTTCACATCCACTTCAAGTCTCCATTGCATTCTTCTAACTGCTTTGACTGCCTTGTTTAGGGCCTTTGGACTATCCCCCATCTATTGAGGTGTTCCTTTTGTAGACTTTTTGTTCTGTATCTCCCTTGCTGCTTCTCGAAAAGTCTGGGCTTGTCAACAGTAAGAAGAGCCAACATTTATTAAGCCCTGCCAGGAGTTAGAAACCCTGCCAGACTCTGGTGATGCAAGGATGAGGAACAAATGGTCACTGCCCTCCAGGCACATACAATCAGACATGTTTCCAGATCGGACATGTTTCCAGATAGCGGTGATATGTGTTGAAATTGACTCCATGAATAGAAGGGCCCATGCCAAGAGGAGACAGCACAGTGTATGTGTGTGTGTGTGTGTGTGTGTGTGTGTGTGATGGGGGAGACCTCTGAATTTGGAATCAACAAAGATGTGAGTTCAAATCCTATCTCATTCACTGGCTGTCTGTGTGACCATGGCAAACTACATAACCTAAACTTCAGTTTTCTCCTCTCTAAAATGGGAATAGTAATGGCCATAGCATTTACCTAACAGGATTGTTTATACAAACAGAATGAGATAAAAAAAACTGGACAACACTTTTTTTTTCCTTTTTTAGTCACTTTCACATTAATTTTTTTATTTTGAATTTCAAATTCTCTTCCTCCCTCTAATCCCTCCCCCATCCATTGAGAAGGCAAGCAATATGATGCCCATTATACATGTGAAGTCATGCAAAACATATTTCCACATTAACAGGGCAATGTACTTTCAAGAATGCTGAACATGCCATCGAGAAATACCTGACGCTCAGTCCTGCAATTTACAATTCTAGTTGAGTGATGATGGACAAGTCACTTAACCTCTTCATAGAATGGGGCCATTAGTGCCTACCTTACAGGGTTGTTGTGAGATTCAAAGACACAATTTTGTCAAGTGCTTGCAAACTTTGATTTATTATGTAAATGTCAACAATTAGTGTATGTACAGTACTCAGTAAACTTTAGAGTGTTCTATCCATGCCAGGTGTTGTTATACAAGGAGGGTGGGATCATATCTAGCTAGGATTCTAGCTGTAAAAGACTTCTAAAGTGAAGGCCATATAGGATGGGAAAGATGACTGAAGGAGAAACAGGATTCGAGTCTAGGTCTACTATGATGGCACTTGCATTGTAGAATTTCGTAAACTTCGTCACAGTTTGGATGTGGACTCTTAGATTTAGAGTCTGGGTCATGGAACTTTGCACATGGTAGGTGCTTAATAAATGCATGCTGTGTTGGATGGTGGTTCTAAAGTTTGGCTCTAAGTGAATTAAGAGACTTCTTCATTTGGCATATGAGATTAGGACTAGTCTCTGTGCAATTAAATTTGTGTCATTTCATTAAAAAACAATGGAACAAACCTGGGTTCCATTGGTGGCTACTGTCTTGAGCTTCTGATTGTCAGTGATTTCTGGAAATCAACAAATCACCTGATTTCATGGTGTAAGTTTCAGGTAAATAGATGAATTGATCTTTAGATTCCAGTTCAGCCCTTCTGTTGGCACGGCCTCCCTCTGTGCAGAAGATGCTAGAATAAGGGTCCAACCTACTGCTGAAACAAGGGCCCTTGTTTTCTGTAGTTTGCTGATCATGTGTCTCTCTCTGAGGTTTCCCCAGCTTTGATGAGTATGGCCAGGAGTTGTTGTAATTCTCCCTTGAGGATAGCTGATGAGAGATGAATGGCAGGCTGAATTCAAATTGATCAAAATAGAGCTGCCAAGACACTGAATAGAAACAAAACATTCGCCATCTATGAGATGCTTCTGCTTTTTTCAATGTTGAAGAACTTTAAATGCCCAAAGGCTTAGTCATAAGGCACATAGATGAACATGGGAAGTTCATGAGGTTAGAGGGTCCAAGGTCATAGAAAATGGGATAGGTGAAATTTGATGAGGAGTGTGTGTGTGTGTGTGTGTGTGTGTGTAGGTTAGGACAAAAATTGGTTTAAGGGGGAAATGCAATGCTAGTTGAATTAAAACTAGTTATTTAAAAACCACCCTGGTAACATAAGATGCAAAAATATTATAGGGGAAGGCCTCCAGCATGTTGGGTAATAATACCTGAAATCCAAATAGTGTTCAAAAGTTTTGCAAAATGCTTCACTGTGGTATAATGAACTAGAAAACTGGAGTCAGAGGAATTGGGTTTGTCTGTCAGATCTGCCATTTTCTAGCTCCATGACCTTGGGAAAGTCATTAAACCTCAATGAGGCTCTCTTTCCTCATCTGTAAAAGGAAGTAGTTGAAGTAAATCACTTTTACAGCCTTTTGTAGCTCTAAACATATGATACCATGATCCACCATGTGAGGTAGGCAGTAATATATTATTGTCAGCTCTGCTTTATGATGATGAAACCGAGGGTCAGAGTGGTTGTAAATTGCTTCTAATCATACATTAGGAAGGGCAAAAAATGTGATTTGAATTAAGGGCTTCCTGACTCCAGATGCAACACTCTATCCATTATACACACTGTCAAAATAGATCTTTTATGTAAGATTATTATTATTTATAACAATAATAACTTTTATGTAGTGTTATAAGGTTTGTAAAGCACTTTACAAATATCTCATTTGAGCCTCACCAAAACCAAAAATAAACTCTGGGGGATCTTTGCTATTTTCACTTCCATTTTACAGATAAGGAAGCTGAGGTACAGAAAGATTAAGTGACTTGCCTAGTGTCACTTAGCCAGTAAGCACCTGAGGCTTGATTTGAACTCAGTTCTTCCTGATTCCCTGTCTAGCATTCTATCCAGTGGGCCATGTAGCTATAGCTTAGGGAGAACATGACCCAGAATTCCACAGGATGAGAAGTCATGCCAAAGTTGCTATTTGTGCTTTTGGAGGACTTTCTCAGATCAATGAGGTTGGAAAATTCTTGAAGTTTCCAAGTATAGAATTTCAAAATCAAATGGTCATTCTAACAATATACAATTCATCAAAAAGAATTCAACTGATTCCCCCCCCCCCCGTTGTCATTCTTCCTTTTGGAGACAGAAAAAAAGGTGTTGAATTTGTCCTACTTTGGTGAGCAATGATTGTGGATGTCTCATTGTCCTACCATCATTCTTTCATTTTCAATATTCCACAAATTATGATGCAGAAATACATTTTTCCTTTTTGTTATTGAATAAAAATATTGGGATTTAAGTTCATCTCATGTGGGCTCCCTGAAAATGTTCTTGGGACAGTTCCTGGGGCTTGTAGAAGGACAGAGCTGATATACATTTTATCTTGTACTCATATTATCTTGATTTCTGCTAAGTCTCTATGTTTTGGAAGCCTTTCTTTCTCTTGTTCCTTCTAATTTCATTCACAGGAGATTATGAGTATTTGCTGTAGCAACATCTACTAATTTTTTTTCCTTAAATTTTTTTTTTTTGGAACATTGGTTTCTCCAGGCAATTTTAGACTCAGGTTTTATCTGTGAAAATGCTGTAATTCCATTACAGTCTATTTGTTGAATTTTCAAGGATATTTTGAGGGCTGCATTTGCAGGAGAAGGATTTGTTTTATCAGTCCATGAAAGAGAACTTCTCCCTTTAATTCTAGCTGTCAAATCCAGTCTTGCTAGGTATCCTATAGGTGCTAAATTTTTGTCACCTGTCATAATACATTGCTATTTCTACTGTTTCTTATCAGGATCTTTATTGATCAGTAAACCCAGGTGCTTCAAGGATACCCTGTGTTTGATCATTGGTGGCAATGATCTTGTATTGACTTGCCATCCTAAACCTTTCTTTATAGATACAAATTCTAATTATCAGCAGCACCATTATTTGCAGCATTCTCATCAAAATGTAGCTGAAATATTAACTTCTCCAGGAAGCCTTTCCTGATCCTCACATCCTGGCCATGGTGAGCTACCCCCAAGGACCCCATAACATTCACTCTTCACTTTATTCTTCTCTGTTGTAAGAAGATCCTAAAAGATTCAGTTTAGAACTGGAAGAAATCCCAGTAGGCATCTAGCATGAGCCTTCATTTTTTATTGTTGTTTTAGTCATGTCTCACTCTTCATGACCCCTTTTGGGGTTTTCTTAGCAAAAATACTGGAGTAGTTTGCCATTTTCCTCTCTAGCTTATTTTACAGATGAAGAAACTGAGGCAAACAGTGATAAGTGATTTTGCCCAGAGTCACACAGATAGTAAGTGTCCGATGCTGGATTTGACCTCAGGTCTTCCTGACTCTAGGCCCAGTGCTTTTGCCATTGACCACTCAGCTACCCAATCCTTCCTTTTACAGATGAGGAAACTGAGGACCAGAGAAGTTGAGTGATTTACCCAGTATCTAACAAGCACCAAATGTCAGAAGTGAGATTTGAAATTAGGACATCTGTGTCCAAATTCTATACTCTTTCAACTACCTCACCCTGCACATTAAAATTTTCTGCATCTTTTCCCACTACTAAATTGTGAAATTCATAAAGGTAGGTGTTTGGTCTTATGTAAACGTCATATTCCACACAAAATTTTGCACACTGATTCACACATAGCAGGGTTTTCTTTGTTTTTGGCTGGGCCCTGAGTATGTTGATGATTTAATGGATTTCCTAATGATATATTCTCTCTCTCTCTCTCTGTTTTTCTTTCTTTTTTCTTCCCTGATCCTTTCTCTCCATTCCCTCAATCTTTTCTTCTCTCCCTTCTCCATATTCTCTCCTCTACCTCACCTTTCCCTTCTTCTCTTTTCTAGATATCCGTGGGTTGCAGAGCTTTCTGGACCAGGCCTCCAGATTGGGGCTTGACGTATCTTTACAAAAGGTGGACAGGAACATCAGCCGAGTATTCACCAGCCTCTTTACCACCATGAAGACTGAGGAACTAAATCGCTACCGGGATACTCTACGTCGGGCAATCCTGCTGCTTAGTCCTCATGGGGCCCAGACATTCATCAATGAGGTCAGTGCATCAGTTCATTTGTCATAGGATGTAGTAGAACTTGGCCAGGTAAGCTTCTGGACTTGGAATTCCGCTGCCAGGAGTTTTTCTTGGGGTTGTTTTTCTTCTTGATTATGAGACTCAGACTATCTTGGGTCCGTTGGCTGTTTGAGGTGCACCAAGAGATGGGACTGGTATTCATCATCATACAACATTGGTGGCACCAAACTTGGATCTCTAAGCGTGTGTTTGTTTTCACTTTGAAATGCTATGTTGTTGTCGTGAACGTTGATGATGCTGGAGCACCCAGAATATTTTAATCTTTTTTTTTAGAAACAGAGAAGTTTGCTGTACTTAAGACCTCTGTGATGTTAGTGGTGTCTGCCATGTGGCACAGTGAAGTTGTTTCAAAGGTCAGGGGCAAGGCTTGGGACCTTTCCTTCCTTCCCTCACCTCCCAGTTCCACACATTCCTTCCTCCCACTCCTTTGAGATCTATCAAAATACAATTATTCTCGAAGTTGTCTCTGATGTTGATAGCTACACTATTGATAGACACACTCTTAGTGCGTCTTAGCACACCAAAATTGGGCATTTGTTGATCCCTGAAGGTGACAGATTGTGCTTGTATTTATTCTTTGGTTCCTGAGGCTACTTTTTATTACTTAATTTTAGGGTCAATCTTAATTACTCACTTGGTTTAAGAGCCCCTAGTAGCTACCAAAATTATCACGTAAGTAAACAAATCACTGAGATGAGACTAGAAGAGTCAATATACAAACATGCTCTACTATTACATTGATGGCTAAGGGGGTCAGTTGATGAAGGGCATGGACAAGATGACTGAAGTTAGCTTAGTTATTGTTTAAGTGTTGAGTTCCATTAAATATACAAATAAGGGTAATGGATTTCTCCAGTCCACGCTGGGCTTTTTATAGATCTACATATTTTCTCTTCTTTCTTTGTGTCAAGCTCCATTGAGCTGTCTCTGGAGGCTGTTTTCTATCATGGACTGAACTTTCTAGGCTGTCTTGGGCAGCTTGGTTGGCATTGGTTTTTATGTCATCTTTGTGAAGAGGGTCTAGTAAGGAGATGCATTTTGCTCAAATGCCATTTGTTATTTTACCAGCAAATGTGAAAAACTTTGACTTTGCAATCATTGCATGGTTGTTTTCTGCTTCTCAAAATGTTAACTGCAAAGCCTGTGTCAGATAGAAGACATAAAACCTCATAGCCTGTTGAATTCTGAAACACCACCCATTTGAAAAGGCCGATAAAGGGGAGGGAGAAAAGTGAAAGCTTAATAAAGTACTGGACAGTGATAATATGACACTGAGGACAGGCAGCAAGTGTATTAATAATCATCTGTAATATGCATCTTCCTGAACTAAAGCTTTAGACCATTAAGTGACCCCTGGGGTGAGTCACTTTAAGTGGAAACTTAAAAACATGGCCCTCAGGGTTTCAGATGGGCACATGAGAAATAAATTATGGTGGATTCTAAACAGATAGTCTCTTTTTTATTAAGTCATTTTATCCCTGCTTCATGTTCAGAGTCCTGGAAGTTATACTGGCAAACATCACCTAATAGGAATAATTGTCTCCATGAAAATGTAATGTTGGATAAAGTAATTTTATCAAGACGAATGAGTTTTGTAAGAACAAAGGAGAGTTGAATAAATGAATTGCTGATGAGGAAGCATTCTCTAAGTGTCTTTTAGGAGTCAAACACCTCACCAAGTGCTGAGAATAAAGATAGGAAAAGCTAGATAGTCTCTGAGCAAGGAGCTCACATTCTAACTGGGAGAGACACCACAAAAGAGGCCTACCTGCAGGGCAGATGGAAAGGACCAGAAGACCTAAGGGTTCCATGGTGGGGGTGGGGGATGGCAAGATTTAGAGGCCTTTAGATCAGCTGCGATCACTTGGAAACCTGGGACTGGGCTGTTCTTCCACTTCCTTTGCGTTCCCAATGTTTGCACAAAATAGGCATTTAATAAAAGCCAATTGACTGAGTGACAGAATAAAGAGTTGGGGGGATTGGAACTCAGAGCTTCAATAATCTAACTGATGTTTTGGTTTGGAGGTGAGGGCGACTAGGGATGTCTTGGGCCAAAGGTGGTGGTGTGGGGGCCAACTGGAGGCATCTCTAGCAAGCTCCAGGCACACAGGGCGTAAAGAAAGAGAAATCTCCCCTGATAGAGGACAGATTTCTCTTTGGCTCTCGTATCTCCAGCACATATCACAAGGACTGAACCATAGGAGGGGCTTAATAAGGGTTTGGTGACTGAGTTGAAGCCCCAGCCTCCCTCTGAAGGCCAAACAGAATTCTAACAGGCAGAGATATAGAAGGAGTGCTTGGGAAACAGATGGCCTGTATGAAATCACGGAAACTGGAGAAAACAGAATGAAATCAAGCATATGAAAGTAGCCCTATGCTACTCCTCTTTTATCTAGAGGAAGGGGAAGAAGTTGGTGTAAGACCATGCTGAGCCCTTGGGGAAGGGCATGAGAGAAGAGAGAGCAAGGAATGAGTTGGCTTAGTCTCAGGGCATAGAGACAGAAATGTTGGCTATGGTACGGAATAGCTCAGTTGTAATTTCTGAATGATTTCTTGCCAGAGTAAAGTATTATTTGGAATATACTGTGACACCTGTTGTGAACACTTCTTTTGCATTTTTTGAACAGGGAGAAAGAGTAAAGACCTCATGAGGAGTTAGGAAACCCAGAGGGACTCAATGGTATCACATTAAAAGTATCCTGAGGCTGTTCCTCAGATCATGCTTGATTTGTAGATGTTTCCAATATAGTCAATTTTTTCCCGGCACTTTCTGTTACTTGTGCAATTCTTCACAGACCTGGAAACACCGTTACTATGAGCCACTGCAGAGGCTACCCAGCTGAAGCCAAGTGGCAGGGTGAACTGCCCATCTTACATGCCCTGAGACTTGTCCTGTGTACATAGTGCTCAGAAAGAGGTCTCAGAATAACTTGAGGAGAGAACTGGGAACAATTCTTGGCTTCCATTAGACACAAAAAAAGACATCAGTCTACCAGCACAGCCTCCCAGTCAGGTTACAAAAGTGATGAAAGGAATGGAGGGCATGCCCTGAGAGGGGGATCAGAGCATTCTGGGACTGAGAGGAAAGGTAATTGAAGGGGAAGTAAAGAGCTTCTGAGAGTGGAAGAGGGTAGGGCTTGAAAGAGATTTCTGATTTTCAAGAGGGCAGGGGCCTTATAAAAGGTGGGTGGGTCATCTATGGCATGAAAGAGAAGTAGGGGGTTGGCTTGTTTTCATGAAGACAATTGTGCCTTGAGGCCATAGTAGGGAGAAAGTCACCATCAGGGGCCGTGTATATCTCATTCCTTGATGATAAAGAACTGAAGAAATAAGAGAGGGCCATCTCACACTCATAAAAAGAGTTGCTAAGGGGTCTGATCCAAGACCTGTTTTCCTTCATCATGGGTAATGTAGGACTGTGGCCACTCTTTGGAGCTCACTCATGGGTCTCTTTGGTTTCCCAAAGTGCTGAATTTGTTTAAAAATCAGCTTCCCAACCTGACCTTGTGGGAAACTGACTGCAGCCAATTTTTTCAGCCTTACCTCACTCTACCTCCTTTATGACTGTATGTGGCAGTGATGCTTAGAATGATATCACAGACTTAGAGAGGGAGGGACCTTAAAGGTCATGAAGTCTAACCCCATCATTTTTTGGGTGAGGAAACTGAGTCACAAGAAGTTAAATGACTTGCCAAAGGTTGCATAGGTAGTGGCTGAGCTCATATCTCAAGCTGACTCCAGGCCCAGTGTTCTACCTACTGTACTGCGCTTCCTACATTCCTAGAGATCCTGCTGTCTTCTTCTATTTCCATGTACTCTTTCCTTTTCTCTGTCTGGAGAGAATCTCCCCTTCCTTCAAAAGTCCAGTTCAGGAGTCACCTAATCCATTAAGTTTTTCCAGATTCTTCTTCTCCCCTCCCCTATTTAAAAATAATTTCTCCTATTTCTTCATCTGGTTCTGGTTTCATTCCTTTGCTTCTATCAATATTATCTTGCACCATATTTATCATATCCTCTATATTCATTTATAAGCTCATTGGGAAGAGGAAGTGTATTGACTTTGATCTTAGCATCCCCAGAGCCTACATCAGTGCAATGCACATAGCACTTAATACTTTTCAAACAAATGAATAGAATGAAGAATACAGCTCAAATGGGGAAACCATTATTAAGTGGGGTTTCTATGTGTGAGATGCTATGCACGATGCCTAACTGTGAAGACAAGTATGAATAAAACAGGTCATTTCATCTCCTACTCAAAAACTTCCAATGACTCCCTATTGCCCCCAGGATAAGATATTCTTGTTCTGCATGCAACATTCTTCCCAGTGTGGCTCAGCCCATTTTCCCAAGCTTATTACACCTTATTCACCTTCACCATTCTACATAGAAGCTGGTCTACTGGCCATTACTTGCATTCAATATTACATCCCCCATATCCATGCTTTAGCATAAGCTACCCCTCATGCCTGAAATTTATTTCTACCTCACCAGTGCCTTGTAGAATAACTAGATCCTTTCAAAACTCAAGTGCTACCTCATAAAGCTTTTCTTGATCCCCTCACATATTAATGCCTCTCCTTAAATTGCTTTAGTATTAACACTATATACATACACATAATACATAGATGGGTGTATTTATGAATGTAAATATGTAATACATATGCATGTGTATATGCATATATATGTATACACATATATGTGCATGTTATGTGCCCTCTCCCCAATAGTAAGATGTAAACTCTTTGAGAACAAATATTATTTTTCTTTTTTTAAATCTTTTTTGTATTAAATACCAAGGATGGTGTCAGGCATACGTTCAGAAATAAATAAATGCTAGGCGATTGATTGATTATTGAGCCAAGTGTGACTCCATGGTTCATAAGATCAAAAATGTAGGGCTCATGGGGGGAATTTAGAAGCCATCTACTCCTACTCTTTCATTGGCTAATGAGGAAAGT